CTTTACCTAGAGCCGTCATATCATTTCCATATGCCCAGTAGGCCCAGTTTTATTTATTATACCGTAAAACTTCGAATAGAAGAAGCCCTGGATGGGCTCTTTTCGAGATGGACATCTTTTTGAGAATACATTTGCAAAAGGGAGTCTTCAATGTTTTCAAAACTGAATGCTGTGAATTTTAAAATTGCTACTATACAACATTTTTGACTATTGAATTCGAAATTCGTGCTAGTAATGTACAATAAAGTAATATTGATACTGACACTGAGGAAGTGGGAGGGGGGGCTCCTTTTCGCGTTTGGATTCTTCTCGAGATTAAGCCCATGTGTCTTCTATTCCGGGACCGAGTATAGGCGGCCCCTTGTTTCGGACCAATGTCGTTGTCGGTCTGTACTTGTTGGACCCCTATCGACAAATTTCTGGAGCCACCACTCGCATTACATACGTTTCTGTCGCCTATTATGTTTAGTAAAACGGAAATACAAATATATGTTACGCTTATTACAATATCATATAAATATACAATAATGGTATAAATTAAATGGCCGATTGACGATGTTGACCAATACATTTATTTTTACCAGAATCAATTTTACTTGAGGACGATTGCCCATTTCGATCGGATAAAGTACTTACCGTCTTTGGAATGGAGATATGGCCTTGTAAATCGAAGATAGCATGTATCGATGATGAAAATTGTAAAAATGTCAACGAGGTGTGCGTATGTTCAAGTTTGTGTGGACGCTCTTGTAACACGCAACGGGAGCCTAACACAGGTAGGGCCTAAGAATGCATATTATTATTATTATTATTATTATTATTATTATTATTATTATTATTATTATTATTATTATTATTATTATTATTATTATTATTATTATTATTATTATTATTATTATTATTATTAATAATAATAATAAATTGTAAATCGAAGATAGCATGTATCGATGATGAAAATTATAAAAATGTCAACGAGGTGTGCGTATTTTCAAGTTTGTGTGGACGCTCTTGTAACACGCAACGGGAGCCTAACACAGGTAGGGCCTAAGAAT